CCAATGAACCAACTAACCAATGAACCAACTAACCAATAAACCAATGAACCATTGAACCAACTAACCAATGAACCAACTAGCCAACATCTCATCATTGAGGTTCGACCTAAGTTTTAACTACTATACAGTATTCACATAATGCAATGAAATTTGGATTGTGTTACCTTAATAATTATGATTTTGATTTTAGACCATGGCTGATTATAAAGATTATCACCTGCAAGGTACAAGAAACCCCGCTGTTCTTTCAGAATGCTGGACAGGAGGAAGATTACTTCATTGGCTTCCTTATTCTGCAAATTTCATGAAGGAATATAAATGCCATGATTTAATTTACACAATAAGACAATAATATTGACGAGGAAAAAACAATGCCCTAAAATTCTTTAATGACATTATTATAAAGGAATTGAAGCGCGACGACTTCACTCACATTCACACCAAGAAGCCTCTGGTTATAAATGCATGGAGGCCCTCACAGCCCAATGGGAAGAGACCTCAATGTGTAAAAACCTATCTTAGTAAGTAATTTGGGATTTAAATAAATAATCCTTTATTAATTCCTTTCCATTTTAGGCACAAATCCAGAAGAGAGCTGGTAGGTCTACAAAGTACAAATCAATTTTTAAAGTCATTTATTTTTAACTTATTTTAAGGTACGATTTTTCCTGCAAGGACCCTGATCTCCAGTGGTCATCTTGCACTGCTTGTAAAATACCATATACATTAGAGACTTCAGTAGTCATCACTCTAAAGGGACTTTGTTTAAAAACTATGTTTGACACCTCCTACCAGGTATTATGTTTACCTAAGTCATTATGGTTTTCAACTATAAGCAAGATTTTGAAATTCCATGCAAATTTGCTTAAGAATTGGGTAAATGTTTGTGTTAAACTGCATTTGTTGCATAGAGGTGTAAACATTGTCCACTTCCGTGCAGTAAATTAGTCTTCATGTTTCTTTTGTAATTTGTGCAAACTCTTAGCTCACAGTTTGTAAATTTGTCCAATTAAATAAATACCCTTTATAACTTTTAATTGCCAATTGGTGTAGAATCTCAATTTCTTTTCACTGTAGGTCAGTTTTATTTGTATGCATATCTTAAGGATGGATAATTCTTTTAAAGATTTTTGAACAAATTATTGTTGCACCCTAAGAAAATACCATTTAGCTAAAATTGATCATAAAAATAAACCTTTGGTCTTTTCAAAGTAATTTTTGTGTTTTAAAATTTCTATTATCCTATATGGGAGTTGCGTTTAAGTCATGCAACAATTAGTCATACAGCAGTTTATGGGACTGTAAGTGTAATTTCAAGTGACCCTCAATGCAAAGATGGCAATGCTCATTTTACAATGGTACCCTTGTAACCTGAATTAGATCAAAAATGTGGAAGATATTGTTTTTTCTGACTCGAAAAGTGATTAAATCTCCATTATTTCTCATAGGCAAGAAATACATGAATTACTTTTGCAAGGAAATTGCAAATGAAATTAAACAGTTTAAACATAAATATATTTTTTAACAATTTATTTATTTTTCATTTTTCCAGAGCTGAAAACTTTAGAATGGGATATCCTTAATCCTGATCTGTTAATTAATCTGGAGAATAATAACAAGAGAAGAACAAGCCTTATTTAATCTGGAGACGAAAAAAGAGAAGATTAAGAAATGATCTTGATATCCACCATTCTAAAGTTTTCAGCTCTGATTTTCTATAAAAAAAATTTACTGATACATGAATTTAATGCAGAATGCAGATAATCACTATTCCAATCTTCTTGTTTCCTTGCTGTCCTGTTTTGCTCCATTAAATTAGCTGCTTATCCCCTTCCCCACAGGATGGTTTATATGCAGTTTCAATAGCTGACCAGGCAATTTGTAGTATTTAACTCTCATCTCATCTTGTTTTTTTCTGCATTTATTCCAGTTGGTTTTGATTTACACTAAACTTGAAATTAGCCATCTCTGTAGGTTTATTGCTGACATTGTTGTAATGAGAACTTCCCTTTATCAGCTGCATTAATTGAGTTACATGGATCATCAGTGTCAGCAGTAATTAAGAAAGAAAATTTAAAGGACCTTCTTGCTTTAACTGCATTCGGGTAGGTTTCACTGTTAACTTATATTCTCAAGTGGACAGATTTTTTTAAGAAGAAATAATCCGCTAAGCATGCTGTCCCATTTCTTCATACAATGGGGAGTGTATATTTTAATCAGCTGCAGAAAAGGTCCCTTCCAAAAAGGGCTCTGTTCTCTAAATAGAGTGGGTATAAAGATGAATTAGAATTTGACTTATTGGCTCTTTCTGAGATTTTTTAAAATTTTTCTTCTTGATTCTTGTAAGATTTCTTTTTGTTCACTACTGTATCAGTAGGAAGTTATCTAATCAAGCATGGGATTCATGGCCGCTTGGCCTTCCCTCCCTCTGATATATAAAGCCTTTCACAGCACCCACATATGCAAGGTGCAGAGATCAGTCTGGTAAGTCTGATCAGCATGCCATCTAATCACAACCAAAAGCATTAATATTCAATTCATTCTTGATCAGGTTTCATGGCCCAAGGAAGGTCACTTTCACTGTCCCTATAAGACACCTAATATTCTAGGTTATCAACGATGAGGAGTCTGGATATGTATCATACATAGGGAACAAGGCAACCACCATTAAATATGATGCAAAGGTATTTTTTTGAATATTCTTTAAGAAAGTCATAATCTATATAAATATAAAACATTTAGTTTTTAAGAGCCTTTTTATGGAATTAGATCTTTTTTATGTTTAATGTTTGATTTAAAAACGTCCGAAATTTTATTTTAAAAAGTAATAAAATTTGTTCTTATCATCCAGACCTTTAATCAAGTACATTGGGGAGAAAAAAAATCTCTTTTCTTTCCTTAAAAGTTCAAGTAAATAGGGAAATATATTTTCAATCTTTGTATTAAATTATAATTTTAGCAAAGACTGTGGATTATGGAGAATGTAAACAATCCTCAACTTAATGGCATATCTGAAGCAGCCCTAGAGACCTATGTTATGGGCACACACAACTGGACTATCAAGTAAGTGAGCTCCAAAGATATTGAAGTTTTAACAAAGAGGCCTAGTGAAAAATCCCATCCTAACAGATGAAGAAAAATGTAATCTAGACAGATATGTGTGTAATTTTTCATTAAGTATTCACCTATTTGAATGCATAAAGCTCCACAGCTTCATATTTATTCAAAATTGCTGCAGGGCTCATAAAATGATAAATTTAGAAAATTAAAGCATTTATTGCACATAAGGAGCATTCATATTATGACTTTGGGCCCCAAATTCATTTGCAAAGGTAAAATTTCCTTCGGGCCAAAATAAAAAATACTCTCTTTTAGAAAATCATAGCCTTTTTGCCAGAGAATCTGTTTAGTCAAGTTTAGTGGATTTTATGTTTTTGAATTTTGGGAATTTTTGGAATATTGAAAATATTTATAAAATCTGAAGAACTTCCAAAAGAAAATTTCTGAAAAAAAAATGCTTTGATTATTTTTGAAGAAAGAATTGATGAAGGCCATCTTTATTGTAATAGCACTGAAAACAAGACACATGTAAATCCCAGTCATAGGACAAGCCAGACAGATATGTTGAAAAACCCATTGTATAAGTAAAGATGGCATCGTTTCTGTGAACAAATTTTTGAGAATGAAAGATATTTTTCATGAACAATGGTGTCATTCAGAATAAAATGATGGACAAATAGCTTGGATCATTCAGAGAAATTTGAAATCAATTTTTAAGAAACAATTGAAAAAAGGACAAAATGGGACATTTGCAAATGATGAACAAACAAAATGAAGAAAAGCTGAACATGCCTATCTCTATGTATGAGAGTACATTCATAATAGGGGGTCTGAGCATCATGTAGATTAGATAAAAAATACAAAACAAAAACAACTGGAAACCATTAGCAAATGAAATTATTTTCAGAAATGATATTGATTGCCCTAAACAGAAAATGATACTTCTGACCTTCTCTACCTGCACAGATAAAGAGTTTACTTGTAGTAATGGATTATGCATCGATATTAAGAGGAGGTGTGACAGCAGAACAGACTGCAGAGACAAAAGTGATGAAGTTGGTTGTTTAAGGATAAATCCTGATAAATCTTATCAGAAACACATTGCCCCACAGCCACTCTTATCTCAGAACTCCTCAAAGATTATAATAAAGGTGTCAGCGGACATAATGGATATATTAGACATTGATGAAAAAGCTTCTATTTTTCAGGTAATTCTTTTCTGAAGGGTGAAAGATTTAAATAAAAAGTTAATTCTTTAGGTTCAATTCTATCTTCATTTCTCTTGGTACGATGGCAGACTAACATTTTATGATCTTCGTAATGATTCTGGACTCAACAACTTGTCACCAGCAGAAATGGAGCTTCTTTGGATTCCAGTTCTGGTGTTTGATAATACTGAGAACAAGGCGACTACTATGGTCGATGATGAAGCTAGTATTACTATTAGGAAGGAGGGAGCTCCATATCTATCTGGTAAAGATATATACATAAACAGAGAATATTACGATGGAGCAGAAAACCTAATTACCCTATCTAGATTCTACAATACCAGGTTGGGATTAGAAATTGTATTCAAATTTAGCTCTTGATTTTCCAAATTCTTAAACAGCCGTACAGTCAATAAAAAATCTTCATTTCTTGGGTGAAATGGGATGTTATGTAAAAAGCTTACAAACTTTTTTGCTACAACCAAATTTGATTTAGTAATGGCTTTTTATTATTATTATTTTATTCTAAATTTTACTCAGAAAAAAGGGAATTTGAAAAGAGATAATAAATGTATATGTGCAATCACTGATTATTTTAGATTTTTATGCACATACGATCTTCAGTGGTATCCATTTGATATTCAAAACTGTCAACTTCAGCTCACCATGTTTGGAAAATCAGGAGATTTTTCAACATTGGGTAAATATTTTGATTAATTTTGAGATTGATGGTTATTCTAAATAATTTTGAATTCTTCAAGAAAATAATTTTTTTATCATAACTCCATTCTGAATACCCTTAAAGGACAAAATTTTTTATAGTTTTTTTCATGCCAAAAAATTTTTAATATTAGTTTTTTCATTAATTGGAGAAAAAAGGCATTTTTTTGTTTCTCATAATCCTTTATCCAGTCTCAAAAGGAACACACCAATGAATAAAAACCTTTCCAGAAAGTTGCTGCTTAATTTCAAAATATGTCAACATCAAATCATCATTAAAAGAAATTATTAATTAATAAATATACATCAACTAAGTTTTGCTTAAAATGCAAGTACCACCAGTTCCATTCTAGAGACTGAGATCCTGAACTTCTTTGGTAAAAGATCATCCAAAGAGTTTGTTGTTGAAAACTATTTCATGAGGGTATCGGAAAACAACGGAAAAACAACTTTAAAGGAAATCTGTCAATTTAAGAGCAAAAATTATTGATTTCTTTTTAAAAGTTTTATTTTGTTCATAATCAATTAATCAATTATCCAATTAAATTGAATATATGAATTGATCTGATACAAAAATACTTCATTTCAAATAAATTTTATTTTTTTAAGTCTAAAAATGCATAAAGAAAGCTTTCTAAATTCCAGGAACTTTTATGATTTGTAACTGTATTTAACCAGCAAAAGAAATTTTTATCTTTCATTGGCCAAATAATAGATGAATGTGATCCTGGGGAGAAATTTGTTGCCAATTGCATTGAATACTTACCTACCCTCAATCCTGCTTGTCATCATCAGCTATGTCACAGTTTTCTTCAAGCCTTTCTTCTTTGAAGCTGTTGTTACAGTAAATCTCACTACTTTACTGGTCTTGGTTACATTGTTTGTTAGCGTAAGTAGTTTCATAGAATTCCCAGGCTTTATAGTAAAAATTTAAATTTTTTACACTTTACTAAACTGAAACCCTTTTTTTACTTATATGCAAAAATAAACAAGACTTAATTAGATTTTGATGTTTTAGTCTGTTATTCTTAAAAAATTTTAAAATCTGAATTAAAAAAAAAAATTAAACACACAAGACATTAATAAATGATTATGCTATGTAGGGCTTACATTACATTTGATTACTTTGAAAACTTATTTGGAATTTTGACGTAATTATAAAAATGCTACCAGAGGCACATTTAGACCATTTATTTCTTATCTTCGTCATAGATTGCTAGATTAATTTTAGTATAGAAATCTTGAGGTGAGGAACACTTACAGATAAATAAAGTACAGTGATTTTCTTTTCAAAACTCAAAGCTTTTCCTGACATTTTAAAAAAATTGCTTCACGCCAATCTATCATTTAAAATTTGAACTGTGGCTCTATCGGTGATCATTTTCTTCTAATAAAATACAAAAACAATAACAAAAAAGCTTGTGGTGTCCTCATATTTTTTCAAAGACAAAATTTTTGAAATTCTGTTCAGGTTAGCAATAGTCTACCACCAACCTCCTACATCAAGATGATCGATGTTTATCTGATTTTCTGTCTTCTTATACCATTTACTGAAGTTCTTCTAATCACCATCATGGACTTCTTAAGAATGTGAGACATTTTTAAAATGCAAATTATGAAAAATAGTGGTCTGTGTTTATAACACACAATAAAGACAACTTTTCTATTTAATTTTTTAATGTTTTTTATTTTTCCACATTCTAACTTTTAATAATATTGAAAAAATAAAGAATTAACCTCTGTGAATCAAAAAATCTGACGAATAAATAATACAAAACTATTTACACAAATAAAAACAGATACTAATGATTATGATTTGAATGAGTAGAGGAGAAAACATTTCAGGGCAACATCCGCCAATCCCAGTTTAAGCATTTAGATCTAACCATCCTGTCACAATTAACTATTCCTGAGGTTTTAAGATGACGGGTATGCTCTATTCTGTCTTGTCAGGAAGATTTTTATCTCTCAGTTGTATAGGGGTATGGGTGGGTTAGTCTTGTAGGATTTTTATTCTAAATCTCCAACAGTTGGCAGGGCTTGGCTTGGGTTGAATACCCTGGCCCTCCATAAATATACAAACAAATTTAGATTAGGCCTGGCTCCACATAAAATATTTAATATTCAGATCCAGATAAATATACAGGGTGTCAGATCAATATTTCTGGCTTGATTTACAATATGTATAAAATAAAATAGATGATGGTCGCAGCAAAAAAAGGGTGCTCACACCTCTGCAGACACCCAATCACAATTCTTGTTTAATATCATTTTCTGCACTTCACTTCTTGTTCTCCAATTTTCTTCCCTATGATGCAACTTCCATCATGTTCTTGGTTAAATTTTGAAAGAAAAGTTTTTTTGGACATCCTGATAATCACCAATATAGGTTCCTAGAATTTTGTTCAAACACCCTGTTCAGTGTTCATAGACTCTGTATGTTTTGTTTTGCACACATAGCTTGGCTTGCAGTCTCCTTTATCTATTACAAAAGCTGAGTTGAGTCAGGCTTTTTTGTTTGGGGGGGGGGGGGGAAAGACAGTAAGCTAGCTTTCTATACAAGGCTATGCATACATTTGTTTATCCATTTCTAATCTTCTATGTTTCTTAGTTGTCTTCAACTAATTCTATTGACATCAAGGTATGTATGTTTGTAGGATTTGGAAGTTTGGAGCAGGTTTAGGAGTAAGAGCAATGAGGGATTTGCAAAGAAGGAAATCACTTCAATCCTTCTTTTTATACTGATTCCCAGTGTCTGCAGAATTTTAAGGATTCCCTTTAAAATTGGAAGGCACTGCAAAATGGGGATTTGTATAACTTTATGCCCCAGAATATGACCTGTCATCAGCAGTCCACTCCTTTGGCCGAGTAAAGATGGGTATTGTTCTACTTTTAAGGTTTAATATTTGCTTGTTTCTGGCAAGAAAGAGGGGGAAGAGAGACAGATACCCGAAACTCTTGCACTGTTCAGTACTCTGTTTTCTTATAGGGTGAGTCATGCAGGGCTCTCTGGTGTGTAAATAGAACCTAACCCCTTGGTGGCTCTGCTATAACTGCAACTTCTCTTTCTAAGTTTTGATTTCTAACAAGCTGTTTTCAAATTGTTTCCGTGTTACCATGTATCCAAACTATTTGAAAGCTTGGTAATAATCTAAAAATAAATTAAGAGTCCTCTTCACTGTATTGATTGATATAATCGACAATAACTGTATTAGTAGACATTACTTAAGTTCCTAATTTTATCTCCTTTATTAATGAAGTCAATTTTTGTAGAAAATCTGAATCTGGCAGTGATTCTGAACATGGACAACAAAATTCTGGACAGGTAATTGATAACTTAAGATCTTAAACTTGATGATTTAAACTACCCCAGAGAAGAGACTCAACGAGGGAGGGGGTACAGAGGTGCCATGAGCCCTGCAAAAATGACCTCCCAGTCTCTAGATTTGCAGAATGACCTGAAGGCCCTGCAAAACCCTCTCCATGCCTCTTGCTATGTCTTTGAGCCTCTGTCATTTTGTCTCCACACTACACACTTTGATCACCCTTTGCTGTTTTTAATTTTTCTTTACCTCTTATGACTTAACCAACTAAAAATCATCAAAATATATATCTCTTCATAGTAGTCTCCGCAATAGTTTTAAGAATCGTTTAATCAACAAATTTTAAATATTAATTCATTTCATTAATCCTAAGTTTTTTTTTTTGCAAACAAAGTAAATCTTTCCATTTACTGATAGCATCTATTGGTTCAGAAAAGACAACAAACACATGACTGAACTCTGTTTGGATCAGGCCCTAATGGACTTGGCATACAGGAGTGGGGGGGGGGAGGCATTCCCACACCTGTGTTAGGAATCTAAGATGTGATCAGTTTGCTCGGGTGGAGATTTAAGGTCCCCTTAAATGCAAAAGCACTCCATTTAAGTGGGAAAAAAACCTTCCCCCCCCCCCCCAAAAAAAATAATACACTAAACTTAATCAAATAATTTTAGCGAACCATCAACCATCATGGGACTCTTGTAACGGTAGCTGAAGAAATCACTCCTGTTGAAAATGCTGCAGTACCTGATACAACTGATTTTGTGTTCGGTGAGGACACATTTTTACTAATTTAAACACCACAAGCACTTAAATTTCCATCCGTGATTACAAGGGGGTTCAGTAAGTTTAAATACACACATCTCTGTTCTTGATCAACACTCATACTGTAACCCTTTATAATACAACATTATTCTTTAGTAAGTAGGAGACAAGAGGTTCCCACTGTTAGGAGTATACTTAAAGCTGACAAAAGAATTCAACCCATGGATCTTATCCAACGAAATGAAAAGGTAAAGTAACTGAAATATCTCAATCATATAGTTTTAAAATTGTGTTGACTTTGTAGCTTAACTATTCATTTCTGTAATTTCCTTTGTTGTTTTCACATTGCTTGGTTCTAATCTGAAATTATTCATCCACGCTACTCCAGGATCTTATACAGGATAGACCTTAGAGCCTTAGCTCTGTTGGTCCCACTTAAGACCTGGGTACTTGTACTCCATTGACAGCTCTCAGGATGATATAATTCTAATATGCCTATTCAAGTACCAAGGAGGACACCTGCCTCCTTCCCCACCAATATCCAAGAGGATGCCTTTTCAGATTCATCCGCATCCCCAAGGGACCTTTTTCCATTAGTTTCTGGCATGGTGGAGATTGTAGATGGTGGCTAGTCAGATCAAAGTGGACCAGATGAAACATTAGGTCCTGGAGATGGTTCATACAATAGGAACACTTGAGGTATAGAACAGCTAGTACTTCTAAGATGTGAAGAAGCTCCATCTTCTCCCATTGGGGATATTCAAGATATGGTGCAGTCAGAATACCAATACAGATCTATGGCTCAAGGTGAAGAAGAGATCATGAGGATCTACGAGGACAAGATCTATGGTCCTCCAGACATGTCTAAGAAACCAGGAGGTTTACACATAGAAGGACATATTATCAGAGATGGAAGAAGCTGCTCTCTGCAAGCAGCTGCCCATCACCCTGTTATGGAAGCTTACTCGGAATTAGAGTTGGAAGGACTCCTAAGAGATACCCCTGAACCTAGATATACTCCAGTCCCTACCCCTGACCTAGAGTTCCCTTTAACTCCAGGCCGGAGCAGCTATGATTTCAACAAAAGCAGTCAATGTATCAGCTGGTGATATGTAAGCTTATGTGGACCAACTATAGTTCCTTGTGTAAAGACTGCTTCCCTGGTTGAAAGATGATATCTCCTCTTCTGGATCTTCAAACCCCAGGACTCTTAGTCTAGATATAGTACTAGAGGATATTTTGAAATTTCAGGCAGCTGCTCAGAGAAATCATACTCCAGAACCATGTAATGAAGTGTTTGAGTTCAGAGTCCCTAGACCAGAGCACTTGGATGAAGCTGAGGCTACTCAGATAAAACCAGTCTTGGAGCATCCAAATGAGATATTTAAGTGCAGAGTTCCTGAACCAGAGCAGCTAGATGAAGCTAAGGCCGCTACTCAGATAAACCTGGACTGGAGCATCAAAATGAGATAGCTGAATCCAGAGTCCATGAACCAGAGAAACTGGATGGGAGATTTGAATCTAGAGTAGCTGCTTGTAGGAATCCAGACCAAGAGCAGCTAAACAATGATCTTGACACAAGGAAAGTTTTATGGACTGTTTATCAACAATACCTGAGGACTAGACGGATGGCTACTGTACTTGAAAGATTAGTTGAAGATTACTTGGGGATTGAATTTAGGCCTAGTATAGGCCCATCAAGAGCCTAGGAGGAATTGAACGTTCTCAGGCCCATCCTGGATAGACAGAGAACTAGTATACTCTCATTAGCTGAGCGATGGTTCTCGCAATAATCAGAAGGACCTTATTAAGACAGGAAGATAACAATCAAATCACATCAAATCAAATATTTATTACAGGAAGATTAAAATTTATACAATATAAATGATGATAAACATGATGATGACAATGATGATGACAATGATGATAACAATGATACCAACAATGATGAAAACAATGATGATAACCATGATGATGACAATGAGGATAACAAGGACACTGACAGGGGCGACAACCACAACGATAATAATGAGTAATAGAGGGAGACACTAAGACACAGACGATAACAGTTGAACATCTGAAGGAACTTATTAGACCTGAAAATGTACAGATGTTTTAATAAATAAACTATAAAACTATTTAATCCCAATTGATTTATAATCTGAGAGACGTGTACAGAAAGGTTATTAAAGGGATTGATATCCAAATAAGGGTATGGGGATCTAGAGTGGAATAATTGCTTAAGCCCTACAACCATGGGTGCAATTGATGGATCTCGAAATTCCCATAGGATTTACATCCGGCTTGTTATTGGAGAAACCAATACTTACAACAATAAATCACATGCGATCCCAGGTTAGAGCCGGAAGTTCTAAGGTGTGGAATAGAGGGCAATGGCTAATACGCCAAAGTCTGTAGTTTAACATAAAGTTGTATTCAATTTCAGGAAAGTTTGATGAAATTGGCAAATTTTGTTTAAGATTGCCCTTAATACTAATAACAATTATTCAAAGTTAATTATCAAAAAACTAGCCTTTCAGAAAATGTACAGCTTTGGCTACACTTGCAGTAAGTTTTAGTACAATGATGCGCAAAATGTGTATTATTCTTCTTATATCTGTCGATAATAACAGACTTAAAGAGACACTGGAAATCCTTTTCTTGTCTTACCAATACGATTTCTTGTTGGGGCATGATACAATATGTATTTTAAATTTGTGGAGATAAGTTAGCCAGCTACAGAGCAGGTTTTGCGCTATAATTGTTTAATTGCGCATTGGAAACCCTAATTTAAGTTATGTTTCCGATAAGTCACCCTCTCTTGTTACCACCACTTTTATTTATTATTTATTATTCTTTAGCATACCTTCTCTTCAGTATTAATTTCAAACCTTTATAAATGTTTTGTTCAGATTGAAGTTGAGGCAAGGCAAGCACTGTACTCTCATGCCAGGAAAAAGGGAAAGATTTTGAACCGGTTTAAGAAGTTTGCAGTCTATGGCATACCGTTCATCATTGTCATGTTTATAGCTCCTTATATGATTGTAGGTAAGTAAAATTAAACTTTTTCGGTTGTTCTTGGCAGGAAACCTATTACAGGGCAGTGCAGTGGAATACAGGGGAGTAAATAGGAGTACAGAGGAGACAGAGTGCAGACAACATGGAACTTAGTGGAATACAGGGGTGTACATGGGAGTAAAGTGGAGTACAGTTGAGTACAGTGGAGTACAGTGAAATACAGGGGAGTACAGGAGAGTGCAGGGGAGTAAAAGAGAGTACAGGGAAGTAGAGAAACTAACAGGGGAGCACTGGATGTTAAGGACTTTCCCAAAGGATTTTTCCCAAGTGATTTTTTCCCAGGTGACAACTTCCCAGATGTGGAATTTCCCAAAATGTTAGATAAGCCCTCTGATGCGCCGCTGGCTGCAATGGGGGGACTGCTTGCTATAGCTAGGACATACTAGGGAAGTTACCGCCTAGTGAAATTCCAAATTGCACATTTGGGAAGTGAACACTTGAAAAATACCCTTGGGAAGTGGCCCCTTGGGAAAAATCCTTTAGGAAAGTACCGGACATCAATTGGAGTACAGGGGAATGCAGTGGAGTACAGTGGAAAACAGGAGAGTAAAGTGGAGTACAGGGGAGTACCGGGGAGCATAGGGAATACAGGGGAATATAGGGGAATACAGGGTGTACAGTTGAGTGCAGGAGAGTACAGAGGAATACAGGGGAGTAGAGGAAGTACAGGGTAGTACAGTGGAGTACAGGGGAATGCAGGGTGTACAGTTCAGTGCAGGAGAGTACAGAGGAATACAGGGGAGTAGAGGAAGTATAGGGGAGTACAGTGGAGTACAGTGGAGTACAGTGGAGTACAGGGGGTACATTGGAGAAAAGGAGAGTATACAAGAGAGTACAGAGGAGTACAGGAAATTACAAGGGAGTACAAGGGAGTAAAGAAGAGTATAGAGATTGACACCAAAAATTGGCTTTCAGGGAATTATCGTAAACATACAATTTGTAAATTTGATACAAGGAAACAAAGTTTTGAAAAAGGTTTCTGTTCTAGGTATAGCACATGTATACAGTGCTAGGGTTGAAGCAGCACTCAAGAATTAAACCAACCGAAACATAAATAAAAGAAAAGATAGTTTCACAAATAGAGGCTACATAAGAGCGAAGGTCTCCAAAATGTTCTTCTACATAAAGTGAAAACCAGAACACAATGGAATAGGAAGACGACATTATATCAATCCTCATCAATCCTCAAGTGTAGCTGATGGTGTTAAAAAGTAAATCACTCATTTAGTGAAATAGGTCTGTTTACACTGCAAAATTGCTGTGTCTCATACTCATTGGACGTTTCAAACTTCTAAAACTTGATTCTAAAAAGTCGTCTTCCTATTTAAGATAATTCTGGTTAACACTAAATTGTATTTAAATAAAATTAAATTATGTAAATGTAATTTAGATGTTATTAAATGTAATTTAGATTTAAGGGCTGCGTTTGAAATGTAAGTAAACATTATTTATATGTTAAGAAAATTCAAAATTCAGATTTACGTGAATATGATGTATATTCAGGTATATTTAAATGCTAGATATGTAAATGTAATTTAGATTTAAGGATAAGTAATTTAAATTTGCGTAAATGTAATTTAGATGTAAGGGCTCCAATTCAAATACAAGATATTGTTATTTGAAAATGAGTAAACATTATTTACAAATAAGTGATTATTGCTATTTAGATTTAATGTAATGTAATTTAGATTTAAGTAAATATGATATATTTTCAAGTAAACTTAAAATATGTTTATATGAATATTTCTATATTTAAGTAAACTTAAATTATGTGCCAGTGTAATTTAGATGTAATTAGATGTAATTTAGAATTAAGGGCAGCAATTCAAATATAAGTAAATGTTATTTATATTTAATCTATTGCAATTTAGAATTAAGGGCTGCAATTTGATTAGAAGTAAATGCTATTTATATTTCATCAATTGCAATTTAGAATTAAGGGCTGCAATTTGATTAGAAGTAAATGTTATTTAGAATTAATCTATTGCAATTTAGAATTAAGGGCTGCAATTTGATTACAATTAAATGTCATTTATAATTAATCAATTGCAATTTAGATATAAGTTCTGCAATTTGATTACAAGTAAATGTTATTTATAATTAATCTATTGCAATTTAGAATTAAGGCTCCATTTTAATTATAATTAAATTTCATTTAGATTTAAATGAATGTTATTTATAATTAAATAATGTAATTTAGATTTAAGGGAATGTAAAACGCACTTATATGTAATTGAATGTAATTAATCATAATCAAGAAATATTTGAGCAGGTACCCCCAAATCTTTGTTTACATATAAAGTATTATAACAACATTATATGGGTGAAATACAGGGTTACCCACAAAGGAAGAGGCTTTAACGACGAGTGTACAGAATGTATACTGTACAGAATGTATACTGTACAGAATGTATACTGTACAGAATGTACATTGTACAGAATGTATACTGTACAGAATGTATACTGTACAGAATGTATACTGTGCAGAATGTATACTGTTTTTTATATTTACGATTACCTGCAACTATAGTTGTTTCTTTTTTGCCTAATCATTGAATAAGGCAAAAAAGTTATATTTAAGGCAGAAGCCGTAAATTTAACCCCGGAATTGTCAATTTCAAAGAGATTCAGGTCGTCTTTACAGTCTCATCCTTTATGGCTATTCCTGTATAAACAAAGCTAACTTGATCTTATCTACATTTTCAGTGGGAGGAATGTAAATATTTCAGTACAAAAATATTTGAAGGTTTTCTGATGTATAAATATTTCTTGATTATATTCATGTAAAAGGCAAAATAAAAATCTTCCACAAAATGTTTTTTTTAAGAAAGAGAAGAAATTGGTTGATGCTTAAAAGCTTTTAAAATTTTTTTTTATGATTTTAAACTTGGTATATTTCAAACCACCCCCCCCCATCCTCAAATTGGCTGTTATAAATCTTCAACATTGGCCCCATTAAATTGGATGTTTTATAACCTCAAAATTGGCTTTTTTATCCCATTAAATTGGATGTTTTAAATCCTAAAAAATTGGCTTTTTACCCCCATTAAATTTGCTGTTTTATATCCTCAAAATTGACTGTTTAAAATCGTCAAAATTGGTTGTTTTACACTATTAAATCTGCTGTTTTATATCCTCAAAATTGGCTACTGAATATCCTCAAATTGGCTGCTTTACACTCCTAAATTTTCTGTTTTATATTCATATAATTGATTGTTTTATATCCTCAAAATTGGCCACTGAATATCCTCAAATTGGCTGCTTTGCACTCCTAAAATTTCTGTTTTATATTCACATAATTGATTATTATATATCCTTAAAATTGACCGCTAAATATTCCTTAAATTGTCTGCTTTATATCCTCACAATTTTCTGTTAACTATTCTCAAAATTGAAAGTTTAAAATCTTCAGAATTGAGTGAGATATCAGAAATTTTTTCAAACTTAAATTTTTCGATTCCAGCTTTTCAAATCTAATCAAAATTGTTAAAATTTTTGGAAAATAATAGTATCTATCCTAATGTAACTTGCGCATTTCTACTTCAGAAAGACCTACCAGAATGATCTGAATTAAATACATTTATACTTTATGCCCTAAATAAATGAATACCTGTTGTAAATGCCCAACTCCATAAAAAGTTCTCGAACACGTATCCATCCAGGTACAATTCACTTAGCTATCAATGCTAAACCCAGATATTATCGCATGAGCGATCAATGTCAATAAGACACTAGCTCGTATTCTATCAACGCCAAACCAATGGGCACGATCTTGTCAGCTATCGATGTTAACAAGGACATGAGCTATTACTCAATCAATGCCAAACCATGATGGGCACGATCTCATGAGATATATTGATGTTAACCAGACACTAGCTCATATTCTATCATAGCCAAACCATTGGGCGGGATCTCTTCAGCTATCGATGTTAACAAGGACACTAGCTATTAATCAATCATTGCCAAACCATGATGGGCACGATCTCATGAGATATATTGATGTTAACCAGACACTAGCTCATATTCTTTTATAGCCAAACCATTGGGCGGGATCTCTTCAGCTATCGATGTTAACAAGGACACTAGCTATTAATCAATCAATGCCAAACCATGATGGGCACGATCTCAGCTCACATTTTTCAACAAGAACCGATTAAACTCTCGCTGTAATCAAGTTGGAGTTTCTATATCAACTATTGTATCTTTATATGTTACAAGTTAAAGTTAATAGATGTAATTAGAATTTCTACATCGTTAATATCTATATCACATGATCAAGATAATCATGTTACATATTTACAGCACAGTTAAAATAGGTGCAATTAAGATGTATGTCCTTATTGGGACTGAGCGTCATTTCTGGGGAACGATCGTTCTTTCACAAGAACAATCCCATTGTTCCAGAAAAAGAATGAACGCATAGAACTCGTTCTTAAAAATGTTGGAACGATATGTAAAGAAACGAACAGAATTTTTTTGAAAGAGCTTTTTAAATCAGGAACACATTCATATTATCAAGAACGCGTTCTAAGTTGAGAACGCAATTTAATTCTTTATTTAGGAGGCAGCTATTTTTAAAGCTTTTCATTAAAAAAAATAATTTTGTAAAGGAATTGGGCCTTTGTCACAAACTTTGATTTTCTAATCTCATCTTTGGAAGCCAATGCCGTATATTTTAGATGCTTAAAAATATTAATTATGTTAGATGAAAGAATCTAAGTTTGAAATATCGAAGGTTTACACAATCAGGTGGAAAAAATAAAGGTATCAGAAAATCCGAGTTTGTGGCAAAGACTCAATTCCTTTTTTTTATTTCTTCAAAGTTCACAACCCTACAAAGCAGTTTGATTAATATAGAATCAATTGAGAGTTTTAAAGTGACTGTAGACATAATTTCAATTCTGATTCACAACAATACCCTTCAAAACTTTTTTCTGATCAATATCCGTTTTCCCATTTTGAAAACTGTTTATTTTCATTTGTGGCTTCTCACAAAAATTAACTCATGCATTTCAATTGCTTCAGAAACGATAGAGAAATGAAGGTTTCAAAGATACTACGGACATGCCACTCTATGCATGGAGGGTCACTTGAAATTACGCATGTTTTTCATTGAAGTATAATTACATCACATAAAAAATACTTTAATTCTCGCTTTTGCCCTTAACTAAAAAGTTTAACGAAAAGCTTCAATAAATACTGCCTTCAGTGTAAATATAGGTTTGATATTATTATCTATGTAATAAGTCAAAAGGAAATAAAGATATTTTTAAATTTTAAAGAAAGGTTTCCATCTCTATTTTTACCCATTGAAGCTTATTACACCTCATGCTGTACGAATCCACTTAAGAAAAGTTTCATAAATAATTTATTAACACTATAAATTTGGAAGTGTGTAAATGATCGAATAGATAGCCTTATCATAGTTAAAAAATGTTTTAATATTTTTTGATACAAAAGGATTTTAAGGGGGGGGGGCTTACACAAATGCTCTCGTCAAAAAACAAATCAACTGAAAGCACATCACTACTTCTAGGGCACCCTGTGCATAAATTATTTTTTTATCTCTTTCTCTCTCTTTTCTGAATGACAAAATGAAAAAGATATTTTTTGGATTATTTTTATTTAACATTTTCTTGAATTCTTTGTTTCTTGTCAATCCTGTGTTGGATTATTCTGACAATGTTGTTGTTTACATTCTGGATCTCCTGGTTCTTCCTGCAGATGACATTATTATAAACAATGCAGTACGGTATTTTCATAAAAAATGCAGTACGGTATCTTTATTAACAATGCAGTACGGTATTATCACAAACACTACAGTACAGTTTAATTGTAAACACTGCTGAGCTCAAAACTTAAGACAGGGTATCGTTCTGAAAACCAGTTGAATATCAATATTCTTGATATGAAATATTATTTTATTCAGTTTGTTTATATTCTCAATTTTTTTAGAATCTCTTAGATCAAAATTAACACAAATGTTAAGACCTAAAAAAGGAAACTCGGGAATTCTGTCCAATGATACTCTTTTAAATTTCGGACTCAGTGCGATACTATTGTAATTACTACAGTACAGTATTATTGTTAACACTGCAGTACAGTATAATTGTAAACACTCCAGTACGGTATTATTGTTAACACTTTAGTACGGTATTTTTGTAAATACTTCAGTACGGTATTATTGTAAACACTTTAGTACGGTATTTTTGTAAATACTTCAGTACGGTATTATTGTTAACACTGCAGTACGGTATAATTGTAAACACTCCAGTACGCTATTATTGTTAACACTTTAGTATAGTATTTTTGTAACCACTTCAGTACGGTATTATTGTAAACACTTCAGTACGGTATTACTGTAAATACTTCAGTACGGTATTATTGTAAATTCTTTTGTACGGTTATATTGTAAATACTTCAGTATGGTATTTTTGTGAACACTTCAGTACGATTTAATTGTAAACAATATAATTAACATCGTAAATATTTTTGTCAAAAATAATTAATATTAAGTAAATCAAAAAATCAAAATGAAAGTATTAAAAACTTTAAAAAAAATTCTTTTTCTAATTTTACAATTATAGCGCAACATTCATCTTTAATTTTTAAATAAAAAAAATCAAGGTTGTGCAAAATAAAGAAATGCTTGACAATATTCAAGACCACCAAGAATATTTACAAAAATGTAAAAATTCCTTATAAACCCCGTCACTAGAGAAAAAATATAGGTTACCGAGCTGCAAGTTCTATTCTATTGAGAACCTCAACAGCTAATGGGTTGTCCACCAGTGAAGTAACATGAGAACTTCCTAGAATAATTTTTTTCCCGATAGTCTATTAACTTCCCCAAAAACAAAGCTTGTCGATAAAAACGAAACTTGTCGATAAAAACAAAACTTGTCGAAAAAAATAAAACTTGTCGATAAAAACAAAACTTGTAGATAAAAACAAAACTTTTGGATAAAAACAAAACTTGTCGATAAAAACAAAACTTGTCGATAAAAACAAAACTAGTCAATAAAAAAAAAACTTGTCAATAAAACAAAACTTGTCGATAAAAACAAAACTTGTCAATAAAAACAAAACTTGTCAATAAAAACAAAACTTGTCAATAAAACAAAACTTGTCAATAAAACAAAACTTGTCGATAAAAACAAAACAAAAATGTTAACTGTGTACCTGGACCCCCAATTCTGCCTACCCTGCCAACTCTGTGAATATAATCCGCAGCATTCAGCGGGAAATCAAAATTAATCACGTGATTAACCTGAACATTTATCAGTTTATAAATCAATATTTATCTATAAAACATTTAGCTTGTCAGCTGGTTTGCCTGTTTATCGGTTTTGTGTCTAAAAATTGTAGAAACGGCTTTTCAAATCTGACCCTTCTTTAAATTTCCTTATGAAATCCATCAAATAATTCTGAAAAAAAATCCGCGAACTTTTACACTTAACAAAATGGCGGCTTTAAAAGCTAAAATTATCCTTAAAAAGCAGGAACCATCCCAAAGTCTAGTATTTATGTGATCCAATTGTGTTTTTACTTTTTAATTCGACTTAGACTGGTTACTGTGTAAGGAGTGAATGAAAGTTTAGATTTTTTACAAATATAAAAAATGTATGCGAACATCACTTGAAGCTTTGGCTTAAATATTTACAAGTCTAATATTTATTACCATTGCAATATCTTCAACGTAAATTATGTGTAGAAATCAAATTTTATATCTTTATTTTGAACGATAAAATAGAAAATGTTACCATGGTCGTGTCTAACCCTCTTGATGCAAGATCTGTAGCAGACATTACATTCACCTAAACATACAATTTTTTAAAGAACATTCATGACAAAAACAATCTCAAGAACTGACGAAGGTCAACCCAGACCGAAATATATTTTCAATACTTTATTAACTCTGTAAGGTTTGGTCCATTATCAACACCAAATCAATTTTTTAAAGATTTTGCTATGAAATTTTAAGTAAATAAGTTTGTGAAAATATTTTACTTCTTCTGGTTTCAAAGATTGCGATTTTAACCAAAGGAAATAAAGTTCAAGAATTTTTCAGCTTCGGGGTTTCAAAGAACCTGCTTCTTCTAAACCCAACTTTGTGAGATTAAAGTCAGAATTTTTTTTTACATATTTAAAATAAAATGTTTGTCCCCTTCTTTTAGCAAAGAAACATCACTCCCTTGACCCCCCCCCCATTAACGTTAATGCAAATTTAAACAGTTTGTTTTGAATCTCAAGTCTGATTTCTATGGATTGAAGGTTGACATTATTTTAACTATGGCAAAAAAAGGAAAAATAATGTTTTAAAAAATTAAAAATCATCATGAATTAAATTCGTTTCTGTTTTCATCTAACACCTTTTTTTCCAGATGCTCAAATAAAATCAAATCAAATCAAATCATTAGTTTTAGGGATGGCTTTAGGCTCCTTTATGCAAGACAATTTATAAAAATGTCGAATCAACATCGAATTTATTTACTAAATTGGGTTGGCCTTGCATTGTAAACAAAAAATTATAAATTAAGTATTTTTTTACCTCTCCTTCTGCAAACTTTCTGTAGTGGTTTTCTCGTTGTTTCCAGTGCACGTTTTGATCAAAGTTAATGCAGGGGATATTCTGCTCGTTCAAATGCATGCTCAGGAAATCAGCAGTTGAAGCCTGAAACGGAACAATATTTAAATACGAGAACTATGCAAAAATACTTTTATGGCTCAAAACACAGAATCTAAGAAGGGCCCTCATAGCGATCTTGAGTGGCCCTCCATTTAAAAAAGGCCCTGCTCGAGTTACAACGGTTGAAAGGTACTCCTTTTAATCTTAATATGATTAATAATAAGGAGGATATCTTAAAAAGTGTTTAATTCTGACAATTTAATTCTGTGGGGCAGAAATGCGCAAGTTATTTTAGAAGAGAAAAGAATGTGTTTTTAAAAGAGCAAAAACATGGATAACTAGTTCATTCTTAATTAAACAAAGTTTAAACGGCTACTGTTGAGAATCAGACTTCCCACTCACCATGCAAGAATTTTGCAACCCTAATCGGCACTAGTATAAGCACGACCACATTTAATCTAGGCTGCTAGAATTTTAATAATAAGATGCTAAAAAGTCCGACCTACTGTTGTTTGAGCTATTGAATATTTTGACAAATGTTTATGCTTCAAACATTTCTGCTTCCAAATTAAGTAATTAGAATAAAGATGACAAGGGCTACCAACAGCAAATAGGAGATCACTTGGATTACAATTCATTCGCATAAAATTATGACAAAAACAATTTAAATGCAAATAGTAATACATTATAATCTGAAAATAAAACAAAAAATTGGAAAGCAAAACTCAATCAAAACATACCAATATATGTGAAAAATGTTCCGAAAACGTTAGTTCAAGTGACTAATCACCAGAATAAATAATTTGTGAATATATCTAAAGTACAGATATTCAACAAGGAACAATTATGAAATATTTAAATACAAGTTCACTTGTACATGGTTTACAGGTACACATCTTCTAGATCATACTTTACATCGTCTAGATCATACTGGTTCATTTTTTGTGTACTACAATTTTAAAGATTAAGTAATAAGGTGAATGTCGTCTTCTATAAACCAGTGCCGATTTCCAGGGTTTGCACTAGTCTTTTAGGGTGGACTCTAAAATAAAGAGTCACTTAAAATTACGAGTACAGTCCCTTTAATGAGAAATTACAAATGTTAAAGCAAGTTTCAGCAAAAAAAAGAACAATTTTTGCAAACAAGAAACAAGAATAAATTATCATAAGATAAGATCAGATCAATATATTTGTTGTTAAAGATCAATAAAAAACCTAATAACTAAAGATCAATTACACACCTTGTTGCTAAAGATCAATGTTTTCTTCTGTTTTGAAGAATCCTTCTCAATGATCTCCATGAAGGATTCAAGTTTACGGGAAAGAGCAACCCTGACCAAACCAAGCTTGATATTAGATTACAAGGTTATCAGGGCGCTTTTTATTGTTGCTCAATCTTGAAACATTTTATCTTCGAGGAAAAATAATAAATTTGTTTCCGGAATCACAATGTCCAGGGACCAAACAGCTGCGGAGTTACAATGTCCAGGGACCAAACAGTTGCAGAGTTACAATGCCCAGGGACCAAACAGTTGCGGAGTTACAATGTCCAGGGACCAAACAGTTGCGGAGTTACAATGTCCAGGGACCCAACAGTTGCGGAGTTACAATGCCCAGGGACCAAACAGTTGCGAAGTTACAATGTCCAGGGACCAAACAGTTGCGGAGTTACAATGCCCAGGGACCAAACAGTTGCGGAGTTACAATGTCCAAGGACCAAACAGTTGCAAATTACCTATTTCTTGGCGGGAATATTAATCAGAAGAAAGATTGAATCCGTCCACTTTTTATTACTTAAAACCGGATTACGGCCATTTCTTGCTTTTGCTTTTAAAATAATCGATGTTGTTTCCTAGAAAGGTTATAATGGACAATCACGAATTTGTATAACATTGACCTTGAGATAATTACATTGTCAAAAATAACTATGTCTTCATGTAATAAATATTTCATTTGATTTCATTTGATTCAATTAATTGCAACATTGCCTGCAAGACATGATACTTTGACTGTGGTTGAGTGTATATAATAGTAATAGTAATAGTAATAGTAATAGTAATAGTAATAGTAATAGTAATAGTAATAGTAATAGTAATAGTAATAGTAACAGTAACAGTAACAGTAACAGTAACAGTAACAGTAACAGTAACAGTAACAGTAACAGTAACAGATCTACTTCCAATTTATTCCTAATCCTCTACTCCCAAAATATTCCTAATCCTCTACTCCCAAAACAATTCTGATTCTCTACTCCCAATATATTCCTAATCCTCTACTCCCAATATATTCCTGAGCCTGTACTCCCAATATATTCCTAATCCTCTACTCCCAATATATTCCTAATCCTCTACTCCCAATATATTCCTGAGCCTCTATTCCCTCAAACAAATTTCCCCTCCCCTCCCTAATCCCCCCCCCACTCTGTGAGAAAATAAATCGCACTAAATAAAGAAGATAAGGAAATGGAATCTGTAGGAGACCCCCATGTGGACCCCCCAGACCGCTGCCAGATATGGGAAGCACTGTCACAATACCCGTTCCACTGCCGGACCTTTCATCCCGCCAAGTTTTCCCCACCCGGGGGGGATCAAGGAGTTGGTAAACCAATTAAACCCATTGGTTGGTTGGTATTTATTTCTGTTCCTATTTGAGTTGCAAGCTCCCGGGAGGGTGCAACAACTACCCCCAAGGGAGAATTTACAGGCCTCGAATTTACCGCTCTGAAAAATTTTTTAAAAAATTTATTGATCAAAATTTAATAATCAAAAAACTAATAATTAAAAAATCAATTATTAGAAAAATCAAAGATAAACAAATGATAATTAAAAAATTGATGAATAAAAGACGTACAGATAAAAAAGATAATTATCAAAAAAATTAATCTTAAAAAAATGTCTTAATACCTCTCTTGATCTTGTTTAATTCTGAGAATATTTTGTATGATTGGAACTAGGAAACACAGGGTTTTTCCATTTCCTGTCTCAGCAGCAACAAGATTGTGCAAATCCTTAAAATGAAGGAATTTTATTACAAATAAACTACAATCAAAGCTTTGTAATAGTTAATTAATTCTATATACATAACTTAATATCGGGGATACTACTTAATATATTTACTTTAAAAACTTTTTTTTACCTTATTTTCTAATATGTTATGCAAAGCTTCAAACTGAATATTTGTCAACTTAACAAAACCACATTTCTCCAGTGCACTCACTTATTTATTCATATCATCAGAAAAGGGTCTAGTGTACAATTTTTGGGATTTTCAAGAAAAATCTAGAATTTTTATGTTTTTAAGAACCGTCTTTTGAGATGCAAATTAAAGTAAGAATAGAAAATACCTATTTAAAGAGACGGTTAGGTGTATTTTCAAGTCATTGTTTATTAAGAAAGTACTTTGAGAAATTGGTACCTTAAAAACTTACATCTGCCCAATTATAAGTAGCCTGTCCTTATTTTCTCGCTAAAAATTGATAATCTCTAATTGTGGCTTCTTTATAAAAGTGGCTTACGGAATTGTGCTACAAAGACAATGAAGAAAATTATCAGAATTAGACACATCATCAATATGTAAAATTGTAAAGCTTCCTTACAAGTGCTCAGATAAAATTTTAAAAGATACCCTTAGACATAGAACATGCCACTTTATTAATGGAAGGTTACTTTATATTACGTAAGGATTCCTTTAAATGGGAAGGGGGGGGGAATAATAATAATAATAACAATAATAATATAATAATAATAATAATAATAATAATAATAATAATAATAGTAATAATAATAGTAATAATAATACTGATAACGTTACCCGTTGAATCTAAAAAACATTGTTAAACAATTTCTTTTTTAAATTCTTGAGAAAAAAAATTTCGAAAAAATAGCCTTATGTTACCCCTCAAAAGATGCCAGGCAATTCTTCCAGCCGTTTGGTCAGTTATAGCATATAATTTATAACATATAAATAATGCATATTAGCGAAGAGCTTTATTATATAGATAAGCTTGGTTCCCTGATGAATTTCTGCGGAAAATGAAGAAGAACCCTATGAAGCTGATCTGTAGATATCTTCTGTATATTCTCTACATCAAGCAGTTCACTAAATACCAAACAATTATGTTAATGGCACATTTGATGGCACAAGAGCTTAAATTGTCAATTTTGCCCACTCTCCAAGTTCTCAACATATTTTGATATAGTTTTGCGGAATCAGATTTACAATTTTGACAATTTTGAACATTTTTCTTTTTTGACTCAGATAAGTTTTTTCAATACGTTTTTTTGAATGTAGATTTAGGAGATGTTCTCTTAAAGTTTAAACATCAAAATAAGTTATATGATAACCGTAAAATGATCTTTTTAACACACAATTCTTAATTAATATACAATTTACAATTTACAATTTACAATGAACAATTTACAATTTACAATGAACAATGAATAATGAAAAATGAACAATGAACAATGAAAAATGAAAAATGAAAATTGAACAATGAAAAATGAACAATGAACAATGAACAATGAACAATAAAAAGATACATTATTATTTGCATTTCAAAAAATCTATCTTTCTAGAAAATTGGATTAATTTTCCTTCCATTAACCAGCACAAATTAGCTGCAAAATTGTTTAAGATTGTTACGCAAAAAAACATCTAATTTCTAAAATACCTGATGTAAGCATCAAAATTGGTCGGAAAAGTTGCTCCTGTCATAATTATACGAACTCCTAAGAAATGTGTTTTTTTTGCAAAATTTTGATCTGAATATAATAAAGTTTTTAATATTAGTAAACAAACTTAACCCTGAAAAAGAGACACAGCTGATTGGCCGAATTTTCTAAGAAAAGTGATCATCTCCTCCTGAAGTTAACAATAAAAATTAGTAATTAAAAATTTTAAAAACAAACAAACAACTGTTTGTCTACCTTAAAAGTGTCATCGAGCAAAGTATCAATTTCATCCAGAGCAATCTCTATCACGTGTTTTCTGATCAAGCGAGATATAAAGTATTTTCAATGATTCTTTTTCAGAAAGTACTATTTGGAAAATCTAAATTTTTTATCAGTTTAAAGGCTTACACACAAACCTTGTCAAAATTAATAAACTTGAAAATTCAAACAAAATTAATTAAAAATTGATCAGAGCTGTAAACTTTAGAATGGTGGATATTGAGATCAATGCTTGATCAACTCTTTTTCTTAATCTCCAGATTAAATAATACTTGTTCTCCTCTTCTTCTTATTCTCCAAAAAAATTAACTAAAGAGGATTAAGGATATTCTATTCTAAAGTTTTCAGCTCAGATCTAAGAAAATACAGTGGACAGCGTTTATATCAATACAAGGAAGACGACTTTTCTATTAAAGTTTTGAAAACTAACAAGCTTTTATCAAATTACAAGTTTATTCGGAAACTAAGAAACTGTTAATTTACAGTTTCTCTTTGTTTCCATTTTTCTGTGTATCCAATATCCATGCTATTTGAAATCTTAGAAGTAATAAAAATCAAGGTTATAATGCAAGGAAAGTTAATTGCAGGTATACTCTGCGTAAATATTTAAACCAGTTCTCTATGGGCGGAATTTGTTAACAAGAATAGATGCATCAGTGTTCGTTTAGTATCCGAGGAGAATGAAAGCATTGAATTTTGATAATTCACATAATAGTTTTCTTTGACCAGAATATTTCATTGATTTTTTATATGAAAGATGGATCCCATGTCAGGCTGTGACATCCATCTTGTGTTTACATTACCGCCCAGAGACAGTACACTGCAGTACAAAAGATGCGCACACCTCTGAAATAACTTTCCTTGCATTATAACCATAATAAAATTAAAATCGAAAGTCGTCTTCATTGTGTTGATATATATACGACGAAGACTGTATCTAAAAGTTGAAACATGAAAGTTAAGATTGACTCTTATATTCTTTCCTGCTGAAGAGGCCTTCATAAAAGAACTTGGATAATCCTCCGAAACTTCCAACAAGAATGTCGACCTCTTCTCGCTTAGCGGTCAATATTTTAGTCCTTAACAAATACACAATTATTGGAGGGTTTTAGACTTTTAGAGGTCAATATTTTAGTCATAAACAATACACACTTCTTGAAGATTTTAGAGGTCAATATTTTAGTCATAAACAATACACAATTCTTGAAGGTTTTAGAGTCCAATATTAAACAAATACACCATTCTTGGGGGTTTTAGAGGCCAATATTTTGGTCATGAACAATTCACAATTCTTGGAGGTTTTAGAGTCCAATATTTTAGTCATAAAAAATTCACAATTCTTGAAGGTTTCAGAGGCCGATATTAAACAAATACACCATTCTTGGGGGTTTTAGAGGCCAATATTTTAGTCCTAGACAATTCACAATTCTTGAAGGGTTTAGAGGTCAATATTTAAGTCATAAAAAATTCACAATTCTTGAAGGTCTAGAGGCCAATATTAAACAAATACACAATTCTTGGGGGTTTTAGAGGCCAATATTTTAGTCCTAAACAATATACAATTCTTGAAGGTTTTAGAGGCCAATATTGTAGTCCTAAACAATACACAATTCTTGAAGGTTTTAGAGGCCAATATTTTTGTCCTAAACAATATACAATTATTGGAGGTTGGAAATAAATCTAGTCTAAGATTTACAAAACGAAACAGCGCAGATATTTGTTAAATCATTGCTGAATGAAGGAGCACCCTGCCAAGGTATCAAATCATTATCTTTGTTTTAAAAAGTTAGAAAACGTGTCCTGTTCAGAGGCCGAATTTAAAGAATTTGAGCGGCGGCTTAAATTGAAGCCGCGGCTCAAATATGGTTGGTTTCACTTAAAATTGTATTCAATGTTTCAAGATTTAAGCCGGCGCTCAATTGAAACCGGTATTTTGCGGATTTAAGACGCGGATCAAATTCATTAAATTCGGACTCATATCATCTGATTATCGGCGTAATTTCAAGTGACCCTTTTATTTTTTGTTAGAGAAAATTTCATGAAGATTTTCAGTTTTTTCTAGCGAAGAATTTTCAACTGCAATTTTTTATTGAAGTCCCCCTAGCAGATTTATGCAGCAGAGACGATGAGAAAAAAATGCGTCTAACACATATTGCTATGCGTAATTTTTTTTCTCATTCTCAAATTATCAAATTCATAACATGGTGTTGCTATTTTCGATTTCCAACAAGGGGGGCGCACCCCCCGGTAGGAACACAGGGGAGGGCGTGCGCCCCGGCGCCCTCCCCCCTACAGTTACGGCCCTGAATTTGTTAGTCCTAATCAAATACATAATATTTGAACAATTAGATGTCAATATTTTCTCCATGGTATTAGAATGCGTAGAGGAACAGAAAACTGTTGAAAGTCGGAGAAAAACAATTCACTGCTCTTTTTTTAATTTTGTTAAAAAAATTTTATTTAAAAATAAACAAAGACACCATTCTTGGAGAATTTGGAGACCACTATTTTATAAACAATAAAAATTCTTAAATCAAATCAACTTAAGTATCTTTAATGTTTTAAAGTTGGTTGATAAAGTTCGATCTCTTTGTCGTCTTCCTTTTCTTACAATAATAACCAAAGAACAACGGAATAGAAAGACGACATTATTGCAATAGTAAAGTGTATTTGATGTTGTTACGAAACAAACAGTTTACCATACACTTACTTAATCACTAATTTAATTAACTGGGTCTGTGGCTAATGCTCATTGTACTTTTTAACGTCATAACTTGATTCGAAAAGTAGTCTTTCTAATTCAGAGTTTTCTGGTTATCACTGTATATATAAATAATAATCCTTGTTTACTTACTTGATGGAACCTCCATGCACTGTCAAAACCTTAATACCAAGCTCAGAGCATATTTTCTCAGCAACCCGTCCTAACAGTAAACCAGAATAATATAAATCCAAAACAAAACTATCCCCTCTATGTTGTCAAATAGTTTCCGATCCTCTACTTCCAATTTATTCCTAATCCTCTACTCCCAATATATTCCTAATCCTCTACTCCCAATATATTCCTAATCCTCTACTCCCAATATATTCCTAATCTTCTACTCCCAATTTATTCCTGATCTTCTACTCCCAATATATTCCTGATATTCTACTCCCAATATATTCCTGATATTCTACTCCCAATATATTCCTAATCCTCTACTTCCAATTTATTCCTAATCCTCTACTCCCAAAATATTCCTAATCCTCTACTCCCAAAACAATTCTGATTCTCTACTCCCAATATATTCCTAATCCTCTACTCCCAATATATTCCTGAGCCTGTACTCCCAATATATTCCTAATCCTCTACTCCCAATATATTCCT